AGAGCGGAGCATTGCGTCCTGGGATATCGCGAAGGGGACATATGCTTCAACAATCACAACCTATGGCTGTCCGGTGACAAATCTGCAGATGTTGTCGCCGACTGGCTTCGTCCAGGATAGGCAAACACCCAAGATAACTGTCCACAATACTGTCAAGCCACGTTATGATCATGCCCTTTCCAATTCGGCTCAACTTGGAGACGCTATCCCAGCAACATACTCTCTCCAAGCCCACCTGACCGGCCAATTGGATCTAGACAACATGCTATCAACGGATGACTTCTCGGAGGCGCTAACCCATCCGCTTTTCTCACCAGCATTGATATCAGAGGGTTTAGCTGAGCTTGCTGCTCTCGAAGCTGGCTCCGTCGGCTTCAATACCAATTCCGCAAGGTCTCAGCCTGTGGCTCACGAGCCCTTAGACAATTCCAGACTTCAATCACTAGAGGATCAAATCGCGCGTTTGAAAAAACAAGCTTTCTTCCAGGAATCGGTAACCAAAGCTAGAGTTGCGGAGATGGTAGAGCTTCGACAACATATCGCCAGCCTAGAAGACCAAAACAGCGAGCTCTATGAGAGCGTGCAGAAGGCACAACAGGCTCGGTTTGAGAAACAGAAACGGCGGGAAGAGCGTGCGCTCAGACGTAGAGAAGCATGGTTTGAAGCTGAGAAGAACGGACAGGATGGAGATGTACTTATGCGGGAAATGGAAGCTGAGGATGAAGAGGAGACAAGCGTCACAGATGTTATGAGTAGTGGCGATGACTAAATATAAAATTTGTATATCACATACACCTTTGAGCCCCATTCATGCCATTCATGGAACCGGATGCGATTGGTATCATTTTACTTTTTAATCCATGGTGTTTGCTACAAAATTGGTTGGTGGTTTTTGGATTTATATAAAATAGGCGTTTCCGGCGTTTTAACATCAATTGATGTTGGATTCAGTTGCTTTTTGTTGGGATTTTGGGGAAGGCGATGGGGCACGGATTGCATTAGATCCTATTCAGTGCAGTTCAAAATGATCATATCTATTGTCTGGCCAGATTTTGATATCATCTGGCCATTTGGTACTTCCTCTCTGAACTAAGGACATTCGAAATCCTCTAATGTTCGGATTTTTGCTTAGTTATAGAGTAATCGATTGTTAGCTAATATCAGAGAGGGTATAGATGGTATAAGATTTTGGACTATATAAGCCAGGGGTTGCATTTGCCGACAGCTTCCCTCAACTTTCCGAAAACCTGCTTGATATACAGTAGGCAAAAACTCAACAACCATCATTACGTTCAACCACACCCCTAAGCCCCATTAAACCTAGCCAAACCGCCTCTTCTGTCCTGATAGTCCGACTCCCCTGGCCAGGGAGCACATTCACCCAATAATCAAACACCCTTCCAGCGTCACTCGGCCCCAGGCCCTTATCCCGTAAGTCTTTATCCGCCGTCACCGCAGCTTCAAGGCCTGCTACGCCACCGAAAACGACAATGAGATGCTCGAACTTAGGGACCTCTCCCGCTATCGCTTCGGATAATGGGCAACCGCGTTCCGATGTCCCAAATGACAAATCATACCCGCCATCAAACGGACATTCAGTAAATACAGCAGAAAGCGTGGCGCACCGTCTTACCGAATACCCCCAGTAGTAGCCTGTCTCCTCCCGCGGAGCAAAAGGTGATACAACCTCAGCACCATCAGATGGATCTATTGACGACCCGAATTTTACGGTTACTCGCGTATTTTCCGGCGTAGGTATATATGGCACGCGGACCTTTTCTGGAAGGCCTGTGTTAACCAACGTATACGACGTCGGCGAGTCATTCCCCATATTATCCTTGTTTGTTTTCCCTTTCTTCTTTCCATGGCGACCGTTATCATGCTCGCCAACCATCCTGACTTCTCCTTGCTCCTCGGCGGCCGAGAGAGTAACGCCTTCTCGATATTCACACCATTCGTTCGCTCGTATGTGATGTGGCATATCCAAGCTCGGTAATGTCCCGGCCGTCCGGAGGTTTTTATGCATGGGGAACAGATATTTTTCTGTTTATATGGCGGGGTCTCAAGGTAGGAGAGGACGTGCGCGAGGAAATGTGAGGGGTCGGAGTACGCAGTGTATTCATCTTCGTTTATATTGTGGTTGCCATTCAAGTGTATATGGCGAGCATCGTCGTCGAAGATTACCACCTCATCGACGCAGAATACGGCCAATGCCCGGGCGATGGACCCGGCCAGGAATGTTTTTTTGATCGTGGGATTGGGCGCTGATTAGGTACTTGTCACCCATCTCTTAATCCATTTTGTGGGGGGTTCGAGAGGGTACTTGCAATAATGCTCCTGGAGAGCAATGCTCAAGTCTGCGATCTCCTCCGCGAGGAGTAAATATGGCCGTCGGCTTCGAAGTGATAACCTCGATGCTGCCATGGATTCGGAATGCTGGTCGTGGTTTGTCTTTCTTTTCTGAAAATTTCAGGTAACATTAATACATAGCGCGTACAGAGGGTTGGATTTTAGTGAATTTCTCTCGCATACCTTTGAATTATGCATAGCTCCTTAAGAAGTTCCTTTGGAATTTATGGGCTGGGATTCTTCCCGAATTAAAAAATTCAAAACGCAACCACAGCCCAAGGGATAGTTTCGCAGATATATGAGCCTTACTGGCGTTGAAGGGGCGAAATCACTTCTCCTAGAAGTTCAGCAAATTCTCAGTTTTCTACAAAAAATGAAGCTATTCGGAGATAATTTTTGGCTATTTTTAATTCACGTGATGTTACCGATCTCATCTTTTCGGGCCGAGAATTCGGCTCAACCCCAATACTACAGAGCATCAGGTTTTAGAGCGACAAATTGAGTTTGGATTTACATACAAAAATCCAGAAAGATAATTGGCAGTCGAAAGTGAAGCACTATCATGAACCTACTAGTACTAGTGTTCATGCTTGCACTCTTGGAAGCTCTCTCAAACAAGACCTCTCTTCGCCCCCCAACATGTTTGAGTTCGAAGCCCGGCATGAGCGGGCAAGACTTTAGCCATCCAAATCATACAATATAGCAGTTTGGCAGCTGCTATAGGAGCCCGTACCGAAATGCTAGGCCATGGCTGTTTCTGTGACATTCTAGCGGATGGTCACTGAGCATTGATTCCTGAATGGCCATTGACTCATTTCTACAGGTAAATACCATGTAATCAAATTCCTATTTTCATATATTACTCAGTAGGACTACAGATAGTTACTTACACCATGCCTTTTATAAATCATACGGTAGGCTCCTGGGGGTTGTATATCGTAAAAGAGGGTCGTGCGGGTCTGGATTCCCATATATCTACCGCGCGAATTCTCTTGCCATCGCTAATTACAGTTTTATATCATTAACGATAAGGATAAACAAATGACATAGAGGACTTTCGCCTCCCTTGATTAGCTTAAAACTGTATGACTGGCTTCATAACTACCACTACCTTAAGTAAATCCATGATAGAAAGTGCGATATTCTCCACGTAGAGAGCATTTCACCCGTTCATACAGTGCCTGAACCGGCCAGCAAGGTTGTGACAACCTCCATCCATCGATGTTTAATATTCCTCACTAACGGTAACCTTCTCTCAATAACTTCTGTTTCCCCCAGGGGCACCTACTGAATTTCCTCTCAACTCCTCCACTATTTTCACGCCAGCGCTGGCCCCGATCCTCACCGCCCCAGCCCTGATCATATCCACACAATCTCCAGATGTCCTCACTCCACCGCTGGCCTTAACCTTAACCCCTTTCCCAAGAGTTTCACAAACTGCTCTCATCAGCGCAACATTCTCCACGCTGGCCCCCGGCCCATTAAAGCCTGTACTGGACTTGACGAAGTCCGCTCCAGCTAGACAGGAAATCACGCATCCCGCAACAATCTGCTCGCGGCTCAACTGTGAGGTTTCAAGAATGACTTTCAAACCAACTCTGTGGTCGCCAATATCGTCCGGGTTTGAAGCAACCTTCCGCACCGCAAGGACATCCTCGTATACATCTGTATATTTTCCCTCCTTCAACAGCGGGTAATTGATAACCATATCTATTTCCGATGCACCACAGTTGATTGCACCTTGAGTCTCTGAAGCCTTTTCGGCGGTGCTATACGTTCCCTCATGGAAGCCAATGACGCATGCCACGCCGATGCCAATTCCCTTCAACCGCGCAACGGCGCATGAAACATAGTTTGCGCGCACACAGACGGTTGCGAAGCTGTACTTGATGGCTTCAGTGCACAAGGTGTCGATTTGAGCTTCTGTTGCAGTAAGGGCTAGTTGAGTGTGGTCTATTGTCTTTGGGATCGAGTTCAGGGGGTCTCCAGGGGGTGGGTAGTTTGTTGTGTTTATTTGAGGGAGGCTAGCAACGGTTTCCGAGATTAGAGCACTCCATTCCGAGTTGGTTACAGGTACAGGAGTGGACATTTTATGCTGTGTATGGGGGGCAATTGCGCTTGAATTATGTTGTTGCTTTTGGACACACACTTTTTAGCATGTCAGATCCTGTGCGATTGAGTAGTTTGTTCCCCAAGACCTGTAGTCTCATATTATTTAGCTTGACTTTCATTGAATGTGAATTTCGTCTCAGTGTTTTCCAAGGATATGGTAGAGAGATGGAAATACAACATATTAAGAGTTCTTGGGGGAAATCATAATACCAGTTCTCCACGGTTGTAAATAAAGAGGCGATCGACACCCCGCAACAATCTTCCCGGTTCGGGAATCCTTTTACGCAACTGCAATTGTTCCATTACTTGTAGGGATAAAAATGAAAGAATGGAATTGGAGATTATCAAAAAATGGGAAAGCAAGTTGTAGTACCGTTCATACTAGAAACGGGCGTCGCAATTCACGAAACCACTCACCAAGAAGCCAATGTTGCCCGTTATATTAAATTCGATTTCTTCTGATTCCCTCTTCCCGGCCAAATCGAACAGTCAAATACGAGAGTCGATTTTAAACAAGCGAAGTGAGAGGGCATCTATGGGCACTTGACAGCACAAATAAAACAGGGAGGTAGCGAAGGAGGTTGACCCCTCCTCCATTTACGCCTCCCAGGTGTCGAGAACGTGATTCAACCTGCCCTAATTAATTTACAACTACGGATACTGTTCAAACAAAGCTTTAAGCGACATGTCATATGATGATTTACAGAATATATTTTATGAATAAGTGAGGCAAAAATATGCATTGCAAGTGAGAGCGGGATCCATCCAAGACGAATAACAATCAATATATACGTAATATAAAGTAACTAGAACATAGATAACCGAGATGACAATGCTCCGAAGCAGGGAATCCTGATATGAAAAAGATTCCGATCCACGCAGCACAATCGCATATCAAGAATCAAAGGAAATAAAAGTGTAGCATGATACATAATAAAAGTTGAAAACAACTGCAGGTCGATAACATTTTTCCCCGCTCATCGTAATAACCATAAAGAGATCGGCATTATATATCGTCACCTATCTGCTGCAGCCCCCGCTCCCACACTCCGGGCCACGAATATCATCAACTCGCCCAATGCGCCTCGTGGGCCCTCCACTTCCACCACCACCAAATTTCCTCCCAGGGCCACCCGGCCCTCCTCCGCCTCCGCCTCCGCCTGCTCCTCCTCCGCCTCGCGAACTACCCCAACGCGGTCGGCGGATTTGAGTATTCTCTATATTCTGGACGTTGAACTTGGAATTACTGGCAGCCGAAGAGGCATTCAACTAGAAAAGTAAAGGTGGAGCAGTTAGTTAAGGGTCCCAGTTTGAATGTTTGTGTTTGGTAGAGGAAAGCGAGGAAAGACCGGGGGGGGGAGGGAATGTTCGATCGCTAGAGACGAGGGCTATACAAAGCGTACCGAGAAAAAGCTGACGATGTATAAGCCGAAGAAGATGTAGAGATCATCGATGAGGTATCGGATTCGGGCAGAGATGGGCGGACTGCAATATGGAGTGTTAGAGAGCTTTAGTTCAACAATGGTTGCACGACGAGCGACCATCGAAGATGATTAAACCGGCGAAGAGAACTAAGCTATGTTTAAAGGATGAAACCGCATACCGTTCTAGCATATGCCCATTTGAGAGATACGGTTTTGGTGGTGTTGACATTTCGACTGTTTTGTCTTCATCCGCTTTGTTGGCGATGAGCAGTTGCAGGAAGTTGGGAATTTGCCTCGTGGATGTTCTTCTGGGTAGTTATTGCCTGGCGTGTATCGCGGCTAGTGAACTTCCGGAAGTATGGTAAAATCTATTTTCAGTAAGTCATTCAAACAACCTTTCACTTGTTTTTCTAGCTTTTATATCACTGAAAAAATATATAAAGTAATAATGAAAATGAAATCCTATAAATATTTTTTAAATCACAATCTAAAACAATTTGTTAAACAAAATAGCGCTCAATAGCATGCACTGGATCTTCAAGAGATCATTGCCCAACAATACGCCCAGATGAATACAACTGAGATGATGGAACAAACAATGCGAATGATTCCCCTCAAGAAAACAAAGGAAAAAAATCAAGTCCATACAAACACCAGGTCTTCTGATAAAATGAACGGAAATGACTTCTCCATTAGATCTTGTCGATAACCCCCAACTCATTGATAACAGACATTTCTTCATCCTTCCCCAACTCGTCCAGACCTTTGAACCCATCTTCAACCGACCATTTTGTATTCGTCAACGGATGAAGTACCCCACAGCTCGCGCCAACAACAAGGAGTCCTGGTGGCCTAGATCCTTCTTCCTGAATTGCTAAACAGACATGCTCTAGCGTTGACCGTATGACTCTCTGATCGGCGCATGACGCTCTCTCAATCACTGCACAAGGGGTATCTTTTGGCCAAAGGGCTCGGGACATAGGGCTCTCATCCGTTTCAGAACGACTGGTAAGTGACTCAATGAGAGAGGAGAGTCTGTGCAGCGCCATCAAGAAAACAACCGTCTGGGTAGGTACATAGCTAGGTGGCGCTGGAGCTGCTCCCTTGCGTCCCGTTCCCGTGCAGATTAGCACCTGATCAGAAACACCACGATGTGTGGCGGGTATATCTGCAAAGAGCGGCGCACTCAATGCACTAGTGATACCTGGGAGAACGGCGGGGATATATCCCTTATTCCTGAAGAAGTCGTATTCTTCGGCCCCGCGGCCGTAAAGATATGGATCTCCTTGTTTGAGTCTTAGCACAGTTTTTCCAGCTTTCAGTGCGGCTATGCCCATTTCGAGTAACTCCTCTTGCGCCTTATCTGCGTTTCCGGGGAATTTACGAGCGATGTGGACTTCTGTTCGCCGAGGGATGAGATCTAGAACGGGGGCGGGAACCAATTTGTCGGCTAAGATGAGATCTGCGGTTTTAATTGCGTTGTGGGTCGCTTTGGCAAGTAGATCCGGGTGTCCTGGTCCGGATCCTGCAAGGATGATTTTTCCTTTCTTAGGAGGTAAAGGCAGGCCACTCTCAAACGTGGAAGAAGTTTTGCCACTTGCTGATCGATATGCTCCAAGTATAGCATCCACATCTGCGTCAGTGATCGAAGCCAACAAACGAAGAGGCCAATATTCACATATTTGTGATAGCCAGCGCATTTTGCGAGTTTTCGCTGCTTCATTGTCCTCTGGTGTCACCAGCGAGTTGAAGGTATGTTTCTGCGCCGTGGAGTCATCATCAGCCTCGAAGGGGAGATTTTCGGGCGGAATGTTTATGGTATGGTCTTCCTCCCAGATACGCCGCCTGACTGTGCCCAATGTTTCTATAGCAGGACCAAGTCCAGACGGGAGATAAGAAGCTATTTCTCGCCGCAGACGAGCAGCCAATTTGCAGCCCCTGCCAGACGTTGTGATGCCAACGTGAAGGGGACCATCAGAGTAAGTGGAGAGAAGAATAAACGTGCAGAGATCTGGAGCATCTGAAACATTTACTGGTATCCTTAACCGACGGCAAAGATGATATATACGCAAGCCTTGACAGTTTATGTGAATATATATGTATGTATAATACCAGCGTAGAAAATGAAGCAGAACTCACTCAAAGGATTATTGCCCCCAAGAGTAACAAACACAACATCGACGAAATTATCCACCTCGTCTCTCCCAAATGTTTTCAAATCATCATCCTGAAAGCTTCTTGCAATCCGGCGTACCCGACCATCCTCAAATTTTTGCAAAAGCGGGGCATGAATTTCCACCCCTTCAGGTGCAATGACAATAGGAATTGCCCCGGCGTCAAGACACTTGGTGCACCGCGCAGCTGCCAGAGGGTTCGCTCCGACAATTAAATGAACCTGGCGTTTCACATCCAGAGCGGCTAGCAGGGGAGCTGGGCCGGGCGATTCGTGTCGCAGATCTTTCATGCTTTGATCTGAAATATTTCCTTATGCTTTCTAACCTTGGTGAAAGAACTAAACAAGAAAACAGAAAAAGCAGCCAAAAATAATGCAATCTGCAGCAACATGCACTATGTAAAAATCTTGGCAATGAGAACCACCAGCGCGCTTCCGGGCCGAAGAATGGAAAGTAATAGGAGAATTAAAGATACGTGGAAATTCCACGTGTATACTAGTAGACTAATACCAATGTCATGAATTTGCTCGGAGTTGTATATCACAACTGGGTTGATTTCGGAAAGACGTAAAAGTGAGGGTTCGGAGATCTGATGTAACCCAATTATAGATGACAACAATCAATTTCAAGACTGCCGAACCGTAATCAGGAAAATATCAAGATATCCTCTGGTATTCTTCTGCTATCTCTTTTCTTCGTCTTCCAATTGAGCACCAATTCTTGGTTGGGATGGCGTGATCAGACAGTGGAAGTCACATGATAGCCACAACCCTAGACCTCGATCTTAGCATGCAGTTGGAGAATTCTTTCTGGGAAATATTTCCTCCGTCTGTTCTCTCATTTATTTTTCATTTTATTTTCGTTATCTTTTGAAGTGATGGCATGCTTCAAAGGGGAGACGTCGAAGCCGCCCCACCATAGTATTGGTGGCTAGTGATGGATGATGTTTGCGCTTTTTTTTTTCTTTTTCCGCCTCATCTTTTGTCTGGCTTTAGATATATTGAGCAATCCAATGATGGATTTAACCGCGAGACATAGAAAGAGCCTATGTAGGAATTCTGTCATTGAATAATACTGATTTTCTAGTTATTAACCCATAGCTCCAAATTTTTTTGGAAGGTGTATGAAACGGGAGAGTAGAGATTGAGGTTTTGCAGTCTCGCATGCATCTCTTTATCCCTGGATTGATCTCTAGTGGAAACTAAACGCCATCATTCTAGTGGCAAGGACGATATCGAAGTTTACGCTGAGAATATGATATTTGAGTGATCTTCTGTTAGATTTTAATCAGGACTGGTCGGGATTCCAATGCTGATTTCCAAGGGGATAACAAGACGGATGCTGGGATAAAAGCTATGTCACCTTTGAGATAGAATTCGGTGTTTGATATCGATTTTGTAGCATTCGGGTGTGACTGGTCATAGCTCTCACGATAATTCCCGAGGATGTTAATAGTGACACATCCAGAGGATAATGAGGATGTCAGGTTTGAAGATAGGATGGAGGGTGGAATTTGAGAAGACCTTTGACAGGTTTCGATCAAGTATGCTCGTTCATCTGTCACTCGATAGCAGATAAAGGAGACTGCTGTAGAAGAGAATAAAAAAAGGCTCAAGTCTTTCATGATAACATGGGGCGAAATATCCGCGATGAGTAACCACCAGCCATGTATCTCATGTTTTTGCGGGTTGAGAAGAAGTAGACCGACTTTCGGTAATTTGGTGTGAATTTGGGGGTTTATTAGGGAATTGAAGGCGGTAGAGGGTGTGAAGGAGAACTGGTACCTTCGAGACGAAATATACCAACAATTCGGAGTCGACATGTTTGCAGCAATAGATAAATGGAGAATAAACTGTCCCTGTATTTACCTGGTTAATTGTCGTTTGGTAGAGTAAGAAAAAGCGGCTTCAATGAGGCGTGAGCAGAGCCTTTACAGGAGAGTAGAGGCCAGTATAAGGGGGGCTGGGGTTGGTGTGAAGGGATAGTTCACGTTCACCATGAAATGAAATATTTCGAGGACCGCACTACACCGGATGATGGTACCGGGGGAAGCCATCAGCATACAACTACTCGACTACACGGGTTCGAGCAATTAGCCAATGTCGAAGTGGAAACTGCGTTGCAGGAATTCCTTGTTGGCCAACGGATGCTGGATTCACTTTCTATCGTATGGAAAGAAAATGATAGAAATCCGAACTGCCAAAGTCATAATATTCGGGCCAATTCGCGAAGAGGCAAGACGGAGAATATTGACTGGGAACAGTGAGTGTTAAGTTAGATAGTTGTGGGTTGGATAGTGTATGACCACAGGCACAAGCACACAGCCGACCATTTTTAGATGCGACAAGTGCGACAGTTATTGGAGAAGTGAATTTAGGATATTCAAACACCTTGGAGCTGGCTGGTAACGTATTTGGGTGTCTGCGGAGTGCTGTATTTTGTTCCAGTTTTGCTCTTTTGGGGTGAAGGTCGAAGGTTGTTTTTCGAAGTTCCTGTCTTATTATAATTAAGCGCGCGCTAGTTCTGTGCGCAAGCAAACTGCAGCTTTGCTTCGTCCAACTTTCACATCCCAAGCATTCATTCCTTTGATTCCCATCTGCCTTTTCCCAGTTTTCTCAGAGCCAGTTAGCACGATAAGATTACAAAACGGAATCTTGATAGCTAAGTCTACCGGCTTCCACGTTTCATTCTCTCCAAGCCATTTTGACAGCTGCCTTCGCTCGGAGCAGCTAGTTTATTTACCTTACCACCATGTCGGACGGGACCTTGTTCAAGGCGGAGAAGGATTTCACAAAAGATGTCGATACCCTGATTCCGGAAGCGCGGGAGCTGGCTAAGGTTTGCAGTTTCCTGACTCCTAGTGGAACGCATACACTAACACAAGCCGATACCTCTATCTAGACCGACCTCCAAGGCGCGATTGACAAGCTTTTAGCCCTCGAGAAACAAGCCAGACAGGCAAGTGCCTAACCATTTGTCAGAATTCCTTTTAGACTGATGCTTATACCGGAACTGTTCCTAGGCATCCGATCTACCATCCACCTCGAGACTTCTTATTGCCATTGTTACCCTTTCCAAAGAGTCGGGTGATTGGAAACTGTTGAACGAGCAGGTCGCCTCGCTTTCGAAGAAACATGGCCAACTCAAACAAGCTACAACGAAATTGATTCAGGCTGTAATGGGGTTCATTGATCAAACCCCGAATATGGAGGAGAAGATGACATTGATCGATACTTTAAGAACTGTTACGGAGGGCAAGGTTCGTTCACACTATCCAGGCTAGTTCTGCTGGGTTGTTACTAAGTTTCCCAATTATGTAGATTTTCGTCGAAGTGGAAAGAGCCCGAGTTACCCGTATGCTATCAGATATCAAGAAGTCGCAAGGCGACTTCGCCAGCGCTGTGGACATTCTTTGCGAGTTGCAAGTGGAAACATTTGGGTCTATGACGCGGAGAGAAAAGACAGAGTTCATTCTGGAACAGGTTGCTCTCTGCATAGCTAAAGGGGACTGGATGCAGGCTGGAGTATTGAGCCGCAAAATTGGCACAAAATACTTTACACGGAAACCGAAGAAGACCCCAGAACAGATTGAGAGAGAACAAAAGGAGTTGGAGGAGCGGGAAAGAAACCGGAAGCCTGAAGACCCACCGATAGAGAAGGAAGAGGATGTGACAGATTTGAAGTTGAAATATTACGAGCAACAGATCATGCTCGCAAACAACGAGGATAAATACCTCGACGTTTGCAAGCATTACCGACAGGTTCTTGACACCGAATCCGTTGAAGAAAATCCAGAACAGCTACGTGCGGTAAGTGTTTGACGGCACTTTTGACAAATACATATGTTCGTAACGACTAATCGCACCACAGACTCTTCAACGTATCATATACTATGTTGTTCTTTCACCATATGATAACGAACAATCAGACCTCATTCACCGTGTCCAAACTGATTCCCGAAACTCCCTTGTCCCTGTCGAAGCCCGCCTCCTCAAGCTTTTCACGATGAACGAGTTAATGCGATGGCCCATGGTTGCTGAGCAATTTGGGCCCCACCTCTGCAGTACCGACGTCTTCGATGCTCAACCCAACCCATCAACCGACAACAAGGCGCATACCCGGTGGCAAGACCTGCGAAAGCGCGTTGTTGAGCATAATATCCGCGTCGTTGCGAAATACTACTCGCGCATCCAAATGAGTCGACTCACAGAACTTCTCGACTTAGGCGAGGAGGAAACCGAAAAGTACATCTCTGAGCTCGTCACGTCCAAGACCATCTATGCTAAGATAGACCGACCGGCCAGAATCGTGGGTTTCACCAAACCAATGGATGCGGATGATGTGTTAAATGGGTGGAGTAGCAGCATGAAGAGCCTGTTGGGCCTGCTTGAGCGCATCGACCATCTCATCACTAAGGAGGAGATGATGGCCCGGATCCTTCCATCCAAAGCCGAGCGGACGACTCCTAAGGCTCGCTAGAAGGTCCCCCTACTTCTTTGTTTCTGTGGGTTTATTATCGTCATGTGTATGGTGAACATTTGTTTTTGGCCATGCGTAAAACCGAATGTACAGTACAATAAAGTAGTACTTTCTCAAGATGTCACTCAAGTTGATGGATCGGAGTTATTATTTGTTTTGATCCGCACGGATTCGTAGACAGGAAGAAATAGTATTCGCAGTAGACATCCCACAGAAGCCCTTGACACATATGAGCCGTGTCTTCAGGCAAGTATTCGTATTTCTAAGTCTAATATTAGCAGGTATACATCGGTGCTTTTATGTCTATGTCTATGTAATTGCATTTTTTTCTAGTCATTGTACTCAAGTTAGTCCCCACTCTCAAAAGAAGAGAAAAAATAATGGAGGGTATTCCATAATGCAATCCCACGTCAGAGAGTTACCATATCTAAAACGGCATCTCCATATCCTCCACCTTCTCTTCTATCAACCCATCCACAGTCTGTTTCTCCAAACACTCCCTAACAAAGTTAACCGCCCCATCCAAAAACGGTCTTTGACTGGGCAAAAAATGCCCGCCAGGATGCCAAATCACCTTCCCTTCTTTCTCTGCATCCCCCGCGCACACACCAATCAACATCCTACTTCTGTCCTCCTCGACAATACCATCCAAACTACCCAGCACATGCAGCACGGGTGTCTGGATTCTCGGCCGTTCGTAAAAGGCTCGATGCCGCGCACCCGGCGCAATGAAGCCAGAATAACATATGGCGAATTTAAAGGGTGGATGCGTCAGCTTGTCGAAAGAAGTAGGGAAAGGGATGCCGGTGACAGGGTCCCCAGCACTGGAGGAAGATATTGAGGATTCATGATTTGCCATATCGGCAAAGTATTCAAAAGAGCCTTTGCGTCCCGGCTCGAGCAGACTCGCCACCATCGCCGCGAAAGCTGCTCCCTGTGAGAATCCAATGACACCGTCGAAGGTGCCTTCGTCAGCCAAAACGCGCGCAATGGTTTCAATGCCCTCATCTAGCCCTTGGTATTCGGGTGGGTTTGCTGTGTTGGAGCGCCTCCACCATGCGAAGCACTCAGGTTGGCCGGTATCATTAGCCTCTGCGCTTGGGGTAGAGAAGGGTTGGAAGTCTGGGATATCTGACGGAGAAAGGTGAAGGGGTCCCGTTGGGTACGAGAGGGAGACTGAATGGAGGGGGAAGGACTTTTTGAGGTGTTTTTCCAGCGCACGGGTTTTGGCATGGAATAAGGGTCCTGATTGGGTGTAACCGTGAAGCATCAGGATTTTTAAAGGGGCTTTCGGGTGAGTAGGGTTTGGAGGGGCCATGGTGATCGCGGTGGATGCAAGGCGCTCGCTGGTATTTGGTATGTTTGTCAGAGAACGGATGTGTTTGGCGGCATGACTATTTAGTTATACCACGGCATCAATTGCATATGGGGTTTCGAATGAAACCTAAGCGTCAGTCCACGGAATCAAAATTCAACGGGCTTCAAGGTGGCAAATTGCCGTCCTAATGCACGTATTGGATATTGGATCCGGTTGACATTTTGAGATTGAGATAACTAACTAGTTAAGATTAGGGCTCTAAACCTGCTCCGTATAACTCACTAACAGCTAAAATCTTACTGCTAAAGAATACCAGCTAGGCTTAACAGGTTAATACTGTTGCTGGACAATGGAAAACTATAAAAATCAGACGCGCCTCCGGGAGGAGAGGTGCCGACGCTCATAGGTCTATCCGTCACTCAGAGAGTGAGGCTTTTTAACAACAATGCGTCTGTTTACGCCTTCCTGGGCGAGAAGGGTATACAAACACACCTTTATCTGTCGTCTAGCATTGATCGGCTCTGTTTGCCAGCTTCGGCCAGCTTTTTCCCTGTTTTCTGGCGCCCATGCCCATCACACTAGCACAGGTCCCAAAGCTGCACTTGACAATCTTCCCAAAAGAGCTGGAGCCTCCATGTTCGCCGACGTACAGCAATTGTTTGAACGCCTACCCACGTCTGTAAAGTGGTCAGAAAGGGAACCGGGCCCGAAGTTCGGCGATGACCTAGATCCATCTGATCCTTTGATGCCCTACTTGGAGATATTGTTGATCGGTACGGGGACTTTCACTTCACATACATGTTCCCAATTTTAGTAGATGGCAAGAGATCCGAGACGTTTTGCAAGTTTACATCTGGGACGTATATGATTGTTATATATTGGGCTTCATGGTATTGGTGTTAAATTCCCGTGGTGCCCTACAAGGACTTGGGCATGGACGTTGAGAACTGCTCCCTAACGTGGACAAAATCGTACTTACTTACCAGTTCAAATAGTTGACCGCCTAATCCCCCCGAAAACTCTTATGCATTTCTTTGAATTTTCCGGTCGTGGAACGCTGCCCAATGGCAAAAAAACTAAGTTACCTGTCGTTTCCTCCGACGAAATAGAATTAATAGTCTCCCCTTACAATGAATGGGCCCTTCCGCCCCATAACAAAATCACATCCCCTGCCGACCTAAAGTTGATGACCAGCCTCGGTTCAGATGAAGACGCAGGACGCCTCACTATAGTAGAGAAGCCTGTGCATGCAATGAAGATCAGGTTATGGGAAGGAATTGCCCCCATTTCGGAACACCAATGGCGACAAAAAAGGCTGGATAAAGCGGAAAACTTCGACTATGCGTGCCAATATATCGAAACTGTCATTTCCACGTTTGATTATCTCAATGTACCTCTACATGTTTCGCACATGCGGGAAACCTTCAATTATATGTATGAGCACCTGTCAGAGTTTGACGAGGCGTTGAATAACATCCGTCGACGGGATGGAAAGGAGCCAAATGTTGACATGGCCGGGTTGTGGGCAGAGTTTATCCGTGCTAAATACCAAGTCATGACAGACCGTGCATACAGCTGGACCATATCTCACATCGATGCCTTGCGAGAGCCTCTGCTAAATGAAATCAGAGCTTGGGGGGCTTTGTTAGACGACAAAATAAACCCGGAGCAGTTGGCTCTAGTAGAGAAACTGCATAAACTCTCTGGACTTGTTGCGGAGGCGGAATATACCATCTATCTGTCAACGGATGGATATAAGGGGGGCTCTGACCTGTCACCAGAAGAAGAACCGAATGACAGGCAGAGCCCTATGTTGGAGAAACGGCGTACGGCATATGTTCAATCGTTTGCATATTTCCAACACATTGAAAAATTAAAGGAGGAGATAATAGCAGACCTGCAACGGAGTCCCGAAGAAACACCAGCAACCGAAAACGGCTTACTCAAGACCATTGAGACTCAAATCCGGATACAAAAAAATATTCAAGCTGGAAGGGATCCGGTGCCAGAACCCAGTGCACCAGTAGCATGGATCTCTGATATCACAAGTCGTATACGAGATCTTAAGGAATCGGGACAACCACCGATGACAGATATCGGGTATGCCATTTACAGGCTCAGCTACGGTCGAAACGCAGACGATAAAAGTGAATGGGACGAGCTAAAGAAGATCATAGAGAAGGACCTAGCCTCTTGGGGTGACGGCATCAATGGTGTCGAGGACATTAAGCCATTCCTAAAAGTGAAATGGTTTGATGGGCGCGAGCTTGGGCTTGCGGAAGATGATATCGATGGTGCAAAGGGGTATGTTACCAAATGAACCAGAAAAGAAGATGATACATGCATGCATAAATATCACTGTTTGGTAGACGGAATGCATTCACCCCCCGCCGCTAACAATTTCTCCCAAAACAGTCACTTCACCACGTACCTGGACACCCTAACCCCATCAAATGGTATCTACCAAGACGCGATCCTCATCCTGGACTCCGCCAGCTTGGCATCGTACTCCAAGCCCACCACCGACGATATCGATGACAGTGAAGACCACCACCTCCTGGTCGTCGACCCCAAGTACGACCCGGATGAAGGCATCGAGCGGCCTGAAGAATCCCCCGGATATGCCGGTTCCATGCGCATCCTGACACGACTAGTATGGAGTGAGCTATTCGCACTGACGTATAATAATGTAATGTGGTTGGAGGATATGTGGCCGTTGGCCATGGGACATCCGGAGCAGGTGTATGTGGGGCAGACGGCCCCTGAATTGCTGAGCCGATGGGCGGAAGCCAGGATAGCTGGCGATAGCGCGTTGAAGGCGCGTTTTGAAACGGAGTGTAAGCAGAGAGGGGAAGAAGAGGTAGCTGCGTGGAACAAAAAGAGGAGAGAGAAGGAGTTGTGATTTTGGAATAGAGTTGGGAGTGGGGGTTGGGATGAGGTGCTTTTGATTGGTTCTTTTGAATTAGAGCAGTAGTTATGGCTTAAATTACCTCTTCTCTGATTAGACTTGTACAATATGAGAGCCTTTAATCTTCAGGGCTGGAATGGGAAGTGACCTATGCAATACGATATACATATAGTACCCCCGGAATGTAAAGGGGTGCATTCCGGCGCACTAATCCAGCGGTTTACCAATTACAGCCTGAAAATTAACAATCATGGATAATCGTAACAAGCAATAAGGCCTGATGAATTTTATGTTCAAAAATCGTGTACAGGCAACGGACAACGCACTGCTTATCATGACAGGTGGTGAGAAGAAATATTACCGTCTTATCAATTTAACAAAGTGTCTTTAGAAACCATGCCCATTTCACCCTGATTTCCTTTTACACTTGAATATTCCGAAGTTTGTGCAAATTAGCCGGGGTAATAACAATTAAAAGGTAAAGCACGGAAATTTCGGGATCGACTTGTCACGGCCTCCCTTTTGGGGTTGTTTTCCACCGACATTTTGTCCGATGTAGAACAAGTAGCGCAATAGAGCATGATAAACAGTGTTAGATTGTGGGGTGTACCAAGGCCTGTTCCTTGTTTCTTTTTTTTCCCCTTGCGACTTCGGTGTATAATCGCAAATGAAAGATGAACGCAAATAAAAGTGGGTGCAGCGAAGCAAATCATCTCTTTCTTTTTGATTGCTCTTTTTCTTTGCACATTAGTATATATATGTTCAGAAAAGGGAGAAACGAAAGATTGCAAATTCCGGCCCCTATTTGCAGATCATACATCCAATGGGGACGAATAACAGGTTAAGTTAACTTGAGAGGAATGAGGAGAGCAGCACCAAACGACGAAGCCAAACGAGGAAAATAAGACGATCACAGATAGAATATGTGAGAAGAATTTAAAAAACGCCTTTCGATTTTTAAAATCCCTTTTTAATTTTTGAGAAGTTTTTTTGTGATAATTAAACAAATGGAAGCAATCGTCATCATTCAAACAAAACAGAAAAAAAAAGAAAATTGGCCCCTTTACTTTCTCCGGAAAGAGCAGCCCTCGGTCAATCTAGCCTTTCCTCCAGTGGGTTGGCAAAGGACGGTGGAGCAGCCAGCGCAGATGACGACAGTTTGGGCGTGTGAGAAGACAGTAGTGATCGCGAAGCAGCCGGGGCACTTGACATCCATGAAGAAGGATCGGGGCGCAGGCACAAGAGTCTAGTGTAGTTATATCGCAAGTTAGCTGACTTCGCTATTTGGTATGCATTCGATATCGTCTAGTTTCCGCTGGAATGTCGATAGAGATGGTGTTCTTTGGAGCGTACCTTCAGCTTGTGCTTGCGGGCCTCGGCCTGGGGGGTAGGGTTGAGGAGATCGACCGCGAGAACCTATTCAATGAAAGAAGGATGTATTAGTATCGGGGACTCTTCAAGAGAAATTAAAAAATGATATTTTATTTTATTTTATTTTTTTGAAGTGGGACGGAGGGGTCCGCTATCATATCCATCCACATCCATAGCTATCACACGAGCAAACGGAAGCTTACCATCTTGATGGCTTGGAGATGTTGTCGATGCTATGACCTGTAGGATGAACTTGTCGAGATGGGCAGTCGGAGAGCACCAAGGTCAGAGGGTCGATGAACAGGATCTCGAGAGCGGCGAATGGAGCAAGAGAAGAATCGTCGATGGATGACTACTCCTCCGCAGCGGCCAAAATGGGCGATTGTGCATTCGCTTAGCTGGCCGTGTTTGGCTAGTGCCGTTCTGGATGAGTCAGCCAAGCTTATTTTCAGCCGCATTATCAACGACATCAAGATAAAAAGCTTCAACAGAGAGACGGAAAGACAGACAGACGAAGATACTGGTAAACAAAATCATTGTTTGGTAACCGCGAGTTTGATGTGCGCCAAATATGTTGAGACTGGTGGCTGTCGTTGGATATTACATCACCGCGGCTTTCTTTACAGCTGCTTGGATACGACATCCGCTCTTGTCAGCTAACAAGCAGGAGATCAGAGAGAAGCAGGTGAATATTTAACTCCTGTGACGATGGCTACTGCCAGATACGGGATGTTTTATGCATATAAATATCCAGGGAATTTTCTATGGGTTCTTGGTTCCCTGTCTTCCCTTACATACTCTGGACATACTAGAACCAGACCTCCATCATCAACCCAGAAGCTCTTCTCCCCATCCTGTCCCATCAAACCCCTTTTTTGAAAAGCCCAATCACCTTACACATACTCTCCACAACCATGACCTGGGACACCTTCCCATCCGGCCAAGAGACTACCTGGGGCCCTCCAAACGGTGGCATCCCCCCGGACATCATGCAGCCACCGCCCGCAGCAGGCTATGTAATCGCCAGAGATGCGCGCGACCAACCCATTTTCGAACCCAGATGGGCTTCGGTGCCCACCACAACATTCACGTATACCCACAGCGGCAGAGTCGTCGGTAACCCGACAAATCCCCTCATCGCCCTACCGCGCGGGCCCACCCCACCAGGCCAATCCCAGGGACCACCTTACCTATTTCTCGCACAGCAGCAGATTGCCAGTCAATTTCCACACTTGACACCTGCTCTTGCACCTGCTGCTGGTCCTGGTCCTGGTCCATCCACCGCACCCGGTGACCCATCCGCGCCTACTCCCGCAGGTCCTCGCCAGCCCGAGGCTTTTACAGCAACACCCTGCGTAGGACCCGCCGCTCCATCGCAGACCCAGGCTCCCACAGCTGTCCCTTTCGCTGGTGCCGGAGCCTTCCCAGGCATGCCCCCGCCACAAATGGTATACGCTGTCCCGGGGATGGAGATTTTCACCACCCTCGATGCACAGGGGAATCTGCAAGTTTCTCTGCCAGGACCCCACTCGGCCGCGAACCTGCCGCAGGGGTTTTTGCACCTGGCGCGGCCGTCGTAAGCTGTAAACTGTGAACTGTAAGCTGTAAACTGAGTGGAAGGCTGGCATTTAGGCGCCCCGTGTAAAAAATGCGGTTGCTTGACGGGGGTCGTGGGATGTTGGATGTTGTTTCGTTCTCCCCTGCACCTGCAATTTACATCTATGTCTGTTTCTTGGTTTTGAATTTTTCTTCTTTTTTCTCTTTTTCTCTTTTTTCTTTTTTGCACCTTGCTAGGCAATCTGACTTTGTCGTTTGACCACTCCTTTACAAGTTATCATCGGTTTTTGTTTTCCCTGTTATTCCTAGTAGTATGTATCTTCTTCGCGGAGTAGCAAGCGCCGGCGGCAGATGGAGGTACTGTACATGTACATGATGTACATGCAGTTACTCCACTGAAATTGTACAGTACATACATCTCAAGGGTGTTCATAAATAAAATCTCCCCCTAGCCACCAACCAGTTTTTAACTTAAACCCCCCGTTCGTTATTTGTCATTTCTTCCTGATGTTCCTTCCGTTTTACCAATACACCCACACCCAACCCACCAGCGGATTATATACATTTCCTTTCTGTTTTAGACGATCTTACGTTCCCATACAGCCGGCAAACAGCACAAAGGAAAGAAGACTTGAAAAAAAGATGCTAAAACGAAGGTATGGAAATGTGCTGTACATATATGTAAGGAGAATTCAACAAAAGTTACCCCAGACAGGAACATCAAGATATAGGGTGTCATTGTAAATCGATATATGGATGGGCGGGATGGATGGAGGAAGAATGATCCCCAAGGAATAAATAACAAGATTTCACAAAAGTTACGAAACAAAGAGGATTGATTGATTAGCTGAAGAAATACAGGAAGAAGAATCCTAAAAATAAAAGCAGTGAGCGTCCTTGACGCAACCGAACTAGTTAAAAGAAGAAAAATGTTAGAACATAGATGGAATAACTTAACTACCTCAACCGTACTAGTAAGTAGTACGTCCCTCTTACAGAGAAAAAAAGTGATATCAATCATAACAATAATAATAATTAACAAGACAAAATTAAAATTAAAAGGGGTTTAATTAAAAGAAGAAAAATAAATAAAATAACAAACCAGCCCCGGACGCCCCCGTAAAATGCAGTTAGCAAGAGTTGACACATCCGGACCCATTAATTATTCTATAACCGTGGGAAGAAAGGGGGAAAAAAAAGAAAGAAAGAAAACAGAAGAAAATACACACGTACGTACATGTACATGCGCATGTACTGTACATTCATAGGAAGAAGAGAACTCCGCGCTTCATTGAAACGATACCAACCATAAAACCCCTCGCCGCTCAGAAAACTCACTCGCGGACCCTCTGCACCACTACTCTCTGGTAAGCTATCAACATGAGTATTTTTCTATTTTTTCTTTCTTTTTTTCGTTTGCATAAATCTTCCCCCAACTCTAACAGACCAGTCAATCGCCCTTCCTTGCCTTTCCGCCTCAAGCAGGACATGTTTTTGTTCTTTTGTCTTCTCCTTTTGGCCAGGAGAGGCTGCTCGTCCACTATATATCGTGACCAAATCCCAGAGACAGTGAATGCGCTCATGCCATGCTCTTCGCCCCTCCTAAACCTGAACAGCTTTAGTTACTCTTCGCCTTCGCGGCAGGTGATTGCTATTATTATTACTGGTAGTATCGACGACCTTTCGCCTCGATGGCTTTTGCTGGTTCAGCTGCCGTGCTCTCGACAAAAGGGTATTTGATGGACAGGCACCAGATGTCCAGGTAATCGCAGATGGTGGTGATGACGTCGAACTGTGCGTGCTGCAAGTTAGAAGCTTGCCGGTTGCACAAGACAAAAAAACAAAGAAAGAAAGAAAGGGAGATAAAATAAAGACACCCACCACAAAACTCCCATAAACCCCCACGGCCAACCCCAACGAGCAAAACACAAGCGCAACCTGATACACTTCCCCACCATTCCCACCCCCAAACAGCAAACCCCCCCCCCACAACCCCAAATACGCCCGCGACCCACAAACCCCATCCACAACCCCCACTAGCAACGGCAGCAGCAAGACGTTCCGGTACGGAAATTCCTTCTTCACCAAATGCGCAATAATCATCTGCCCGACGGAATATGCATTGATGAGGCCCACATACATCACAAAGGGGACGAGATGTCTCTCGCGCACCAAGGGGCGTAGATGCAAGTACACAAACACCAGCACCCACATCGCCGCAGCCGGCAACAGGCCCAGGAGGGGTCTGTAGATGTCCAGATTCCGCTGGCGGCGGACATGCATGACGTTCAGGATGCTGGAGAGGGTGCTGAAGAGCAGGACGAAGGCGCCGTAGATGATGTACCAGGAGGTAAAGGGGAGGTTGCAGAGAGAGGCGGGGAGGAAGCGGGAGACGGAGGTGGGGACGCCTAGAGTGGCCAGCATGGGCTTGTGCCAGAAGCTCGCGCCGCCTTTTATGGCCGTTGTTGCGTAGACCGCGCATAAGGTTAGGATACCCTCGACGGGGCCGGAGATTATGCCTAGGGTCAGCGTTTGGGTGTAGTATTCGTCCCAGGTCTGGACGTAGAAGGTTAGGGCGGCTAAGGGAAGTTTTGTTAGCAGGAGTATATTGGAAGACTGGTGTGGAGGGACGGAAAAGGGACCCTACAGGCAAACAGTGTCAATACGGTTAGCCATGACTGTCCCAGGTTTGTGGCGCCGGCAAAGATGAGGACTTCCAGAGCGGTATTGCACGCATCAACTCCTACGGAGGATGTTAGAAAATAGACTTCGATAAAAGAACGAGAAGGAAAACAAGATGAAAAAGAAACTACATACCATGATCGAAAAGTTCACCAAGAGGCCCACTCTGTCTGGTTCTTCGTCTACAGATAGAAACGCAATATCAAAATTAGCGAGAAGTTCCAGCTCAACAACCCGCTCCACCCCTAGAATAGGGGGGGTTGTCAATGGAACGCCACAATTCACGCGTAATTCGCAGGAAAAGCTAAGTGATAGCGAGAGAACATACGCTTGAGCCCCGTCGACTGCATCAAAAGTTTGATACAGAAACAGCCCCAGCGCCCAACTCAGATAGACCCACGGCGGGCAATCCTGGTCCAGGGTAGGGTTATACCATAGCAGAGTCAGGAAGTTGATAACAACGAAACAGAAGCCCGTTAGCGTGATCTGTGGATAAGACTTGATGTTAGGGATTGTTATTTTCTACTAGAAACGGGATAGAGACAAGAAAGTTCGAAATATAAGAAAATAAAAAAGAATAAGAAATAGGGGGAAGGGGAAAATAATTGTAGATGGGGGGTGGTCAGGGCGCAAGCCAATCAAGAGAGGGGTCTTCAAACGGCGCAAAAATTTAGAGGGTCCGACTTACAGCATTTGGTCTGGACGAACAACAACACCCAGGAGAGAAGAAGTTAGCACAGGTAGATATGAAGCAAAAAGCTAAGAACACAAGGCCTCGTGACGGTAGAAGAATTGAAGGAGGAAGACATCTTTTACCAGGGATGTAATATATATAACTAAACCCTTGGTATCATGATCAAGTAACTACAAACAAAAAAAAAAAAAAAGATCACCAGACCACACAGAATCCCACCAACAAGAAAAGAAAATAACCAACAGGAAAAAAAAAAAAAAAGACAAAGAGGAAAGAGGGAAGAGGAAAAGACGAAAACACTCACGCCATAGACATAGGAAAACACTTAATGACGACATGCGTATAGAACGGTTTCAGCACGTAGCGAGACACCAGCGACTTGTCGACGCCCGCGTAACGGTACGCACGCAGGGCGGCGAGGTTATGTTGGCGGACGTAGACCATTGTTTGTATAGTGTATAGTATAGTAGAGTGTAGTACAGAGTCGTATCTTTTCTTTTCCTTTTCAGTTTTGTTTTGGCCGTGGCCTTGCTCCTAGATGGAACCCTTTATAAGTAGATTAAATAAGGAGCGTTTTTATGGTGTGGGATAGCTTTTTGGTTTGAAGAAAATTTTCTTTTTGTTTGGACGGGAATGACAGATAGGAAGCAAGAGAAGTGAGGAGAGGAGAGGAAGAGAGGAATATGACAACAGGAACGACCGCGTGGGTTCAATGCCTGACCATCATCGCGCTGCTGGTAGGTACTGTACATCCATTCAATGGTATTCATCCTGGTCCTGGGAGCCCGTTGAGGGAAGGATGACTTTCGGGGGTGTGTCAGGGCAGGGGCCAGGTATGCCGTATTACCGTATCAGTATCACCGTATCAGTCACCGTATTATTGTAACAGAGCATCGCTGGTGCTGGTATATAGATGTAAGTCCCTTCCTCTATACACTTGCTTATCTTCAAGTTCTTTTCTTCTATGCTAACAATTTCATTTCACTCTACGACCCAATTACACTCTAGAATTATGCACAGGCTGACTGAGCTCTCTACTGGGATATCTGATCTTTGGGGAACTGTGGCTGGCTGAGGTTCTCCTTGACTGACTTTGTTGATCTCATTTTTCCTCTTGGATGCACAACTAGCTAGCCACTATCTCTTTACATTCTATGGTTTGGGTTCTGCTCTTCTATCCCATCAGCTGTCATCCCATTCGCGCCTTGTACTTCTGATCTTATCTCCTCCTTTCGCAGTCATATCGACGCATCCCAGTGTTTCTCACCTGTACTGATGCATGCTGAATTTTATAGAGTGAGCGGCCAACCTTGCTTAGAAAATAGGTCCAGGCCTTTTGAACTTCTTCTTTACCCAGCTGGGCCATGCTTTTCGACCAGCCCGGTAAAGTTAGGTTTCCTACCCGCTGGGTGCAAACCCTAAAAATGCCAGCGTGAAAATAGTTGTATTGCGTGGGTTTGGTCAACTATATATACAAGGAAGGTAGAGAGACTAGGATTAACGTAGCATCTAGTTGCAAATGAAAGATTCATGGGGTTCAAGGTAAGGAGAATGCCCATATTTCTGCGTTTTATGATCACTTTCTTGTTCGTTTCAGCTGCGTTTGCTGGGTAAAATAACAGGTGTGTTCGGTTTGATAATGTTTGTAATGCATTCATATTTAATCCTCAGTTCCCTGGAACCATGGATGTTTCAAAGCCCCTTGGGCAGTAAGCCTTCTTTTCAGGTCAAGATTTGTTAATCCCGTAATTAAATCTTTAAACACCGGGTCCACACCCTTCCACAAGGCAAATGGTTCATGGGGAGTAGTCTCATCGAATCCTTTCCAAAGTATGTATGTACATACATTAATCACCGTGCACCAAGGACTTTCGTCACCAATGTGCTTCAATAACGCAGCGACAGACTCGTCATTCCCAAAATATGAGAGTTGGCGCTGGAGAACAATCGCTTGAACGTTCACCGCGTTCAGGAAGTTCCTTTGCATCCACTGCCAAGATAACGTGCTTCAAGACTGTACAGATGCACTACTTTATTTGATATCGATTAGTAAACCTTGTTTTATATACCAACGGTTTTTGGATATACTGGAATTATTTTTTTTTTCTTTTAAAAAAAAAAAAAAAAAAAAAAAAAAAAAAAAAACAACCCACCACAATTCCAAAGGAGAATATATCAGAGGGCTTATTCACACGGGCCTCCGCATGGGCTTCGGGGCTACGCCACATCCAGTTTCCCACAGCTTTCCCGAGGATATCACAGTTAGGGGGTACAATTGCGCTATCCTCGATATCAGCCAGTTGTACCCGGGTAATGGCTATTTCCCCGTTCTCGTCTTTCCAGTCCAGTCAATCAGGATGTTGTTTGCTTTGATGTCTGTAGGTAGTCACTAATGTGAATGATTTTTTGTTTCCACGATGGAATCCGGAAAATTTCGTACCTGTATGGACGATATCCCGATCATGCAGCTCTCTCAGTCCACGCAAGGCGTCTTTCTAATGTATTGACTGCTAGATTTACTAACAATTCTAGTTCCCACCGATGCTATTCTTGTTGCACTCTGCTCAGGAACGCCTGTCAAAGTTTGTTGGATATCCATATTAGTATGAACAGGTGCCGAGAAGGTGATAGGGCAAAGAAGGTTTCGGAATAAGAGCCCTGAATACAAGGTGCATCCAGTACGCCTTGTGCCAGATAGTCTCGGATGTAATAGAACCGAGGAAAATGCAGCTCCAGACATGGTAGAGAATGGAGCCCCCAGTCAATGATTAATAGGATTATGGGAGGATGGCTGAGGGTTGAGCCGTGCACCAAAAGGAGTGATGCTAGCCGCCTAAATATCCAAACTATCTCAGCCATTCCCCGCATCTTCAGTTTTCTTGGAATATACAAACGCCAATAATATATGCTCCAGGAAAGAATTTTTGACGAAATTTGGAATTGGACAGCTACTGCCTGCTCTCAGTTCCTTTGCCTTTTGTTCGCTCCCAGCAGGCAATCGAAACATTACAGCAAATGATAAGATTCCCAATGCGCAGCAGCCGCCTCGGTCCCCAAACATGCAGTGGGTCATACGACTGGTTGTTTGCTATTCATGCGGTGCAACGATTATATATCTTCGTGTCTTACCAGACTGCGGACTGGGCGCGTAGGTGCTGACATTTCGCTCTGCAACGAATACATCATGGGGTCACGACAGCCATCATGCAATTTGGTGCGCATTTACCGCTGCGAGGGATAATCTACCCTTGTAACCTTTATTGAACAGCGATCAACTCCGCTCTCGTATCCTTGGAGTCTATTAACTACTTGCAACACAAATGACGCCCGATTTTTCCTTCGTTTCCGCCCGGCTTCCCACCCTGAAAAGGGGTAAAAGGCAATATAAATATGTGCAATGACCTCCACGAAGGGATCAAGTTTCAAGAAAGCAGTTACCCAGAAATAGTTATTGCTTTTCCTGATAATCAAACTTGATCTCCCGCTTCTTTATACCAGAGTGCAATTACTCAAAAGTTCCCTCCCCAACATTTCATAACAATGTCGGCGGCATATGTGTCGAGCCAGTTCATCCAGAATGTCGCACGCCCTTCAGGTTTCTCTGTAACACATGTGAAATCGGATTTTGTGGGTGTCGTTGAGAAGAACCTTGATTCTCTCCGGCCTGATACTGCTATCGTTGCCATGAAGTATATACAAGCCCCCCTCTCCCTCAAGTTCTCGCTACCCTATGATTATCTTACTTATTATGGAATAAGGAATCTAGAGTATAAGAGTGACTCTTGACATGCGCATGTACTTTACCGCATATGAATTGGATAAAAACCGCAATACGCTTGCAACAAAATATTTCATTACCAGCAAAGATGTTTAGGGAGTTACATCAATCACCGTGTTCAACTTGTCAGATAATGAGGCAATCAAAGGGTCAGAAGCAACTGCGGGTTGTTGCGCGTTTTCGTTTGAGAGATTTGACAGTTCCTGCTAGGAGTCTATCACTTTACATCTATCCGGCTTTAGTCCTGCCGATGACTTACCCATCTGATATCTAAAATTGCAACGAGCTCATTCAATCGATTGTCCCTTTATTGTAGCTGGGTAGAGAGAAACATTCTGACGGGATTGGACTATTTGTATCTGGTAAACTCTGCCCCTACCGTTGTGCACGGCAGGTCGCAACGGCGAAGACACCTTAACGAGATGGCAGATGGGGCTTCAGGAAAATACTCGGCTTTTATCTTGACATGTTTCTAAATAAGGTGCTGACTTAAGTAATGTTAGTCAGTCTGATTTGGTGTATCAATAACAATTCATAGCCGTCGACTGTTGGACTGTGTAGATGAGTTCGAGCGCCTCATTGTTACCTAGTGTTACCTAGGCAATAAATATATTATTTGACTAACTACAGCAGGTGTGCTGATATGAGCTCCCCGATGATCGGGACTGCTCAGGCCCTGCAATCTTGTTTCTTTTTTTTTTTTTTTAGTCCTTCTTTCTTTTTTCCCCTTTTTTTCTTTTTTTCTCTTTTTCTTTTCGATCTTGTGTTTCCAATGTATAAATATAGATAATATAATCCGCGACGGATGATGGAGCTCATCCCCTCCCCGCACAATCTTATCCCTTTCATGGGGGTGAAAAAAGAAAAAAAAAACCATATCAGACAAAATTTTATCCCACAGGGCTCCACGGCATAGGAACCAAAATCCGACTCTGCATAGACTGTATCAACGGCACGGTCTTATGCACCGTATCTGCCCACCCTTCAATCGACCATGACTTTTCGCGTCGGATTTTCCGCTCCTCCAGATTTGCAAACTGCCACAGGTGGTGCACAGTATTCAGCTCGCCAATCTGCACGAACCACGCACCGACACCTTCCATGACTTCGCGTCGTGCGTGCAGGCCTCGTCGCCAGTGTGTTTCCCATTCGAGCAGGTTGCCCGGGTGTAGAGTGTAGGAGCGGAGTTCGAAGAGACTCGCCGAGTTTGCGCGGGGGGGGTGGTTGGGCCAGAAAGGAGAATTCTTGCATGAGGGAGGTGCGTTTGTTATTGATGAGGGATTTGAGACTGCGGTCGAAGCCGCGGAAGTCTGGTGTTGCGAGATGGCGTGGAGGGAGGCGTGGTAACCTGAGTACCGTTGGTATTCCCATATGTGGACTATATCATATCATTCGGTGTGAGCTTTCTTTCCCTTAAAAATTGCACAATTGGCGAGAAGGTTGGCATTGGGTGGGGGGAAGGGTAAGGGGGAGATTTATTTACTAAATGTATCATTATCTCCCAACCTGCGTCCTCCAACTCCCTACTAGATTGACCTTGTTGTTCTCAATCTGGGCCATCCGCGGATACCACTGCCCAACCAAATCGACGTACTCATCCACCTTATCCGGCTTGACTTCGTGAAAAACGATCGAATGGACGTATTTCCCCCGCGCCAGCACTTCCGAGAAAGAGCGCTCGATATCTTTGTCCAGCTGCTGGCCTTCCTTTGTGCCATAGATCAAGCTGGACAAGGCACCACGTTTTGGAGCGTGGCTAGCATCGGATTGACGGTGTTCTCCTACAATGCGGTGCGTAGAAAGTGAGCCCAAACCTTGCGTGTCTAAAGTGTCCGCGGCATCAGGAACACCAGGAGCAGCGGCAGCGGCAGAACCGGGCTTTTCGCTCGCATTGCTCACATGTGGAGCAGTGGGACGCGCAGAGCCCGAAGAGTGCCTAGAAGTAAAGGAAAATGGAGAAGGAGAAACGAGAGAAGCATGACCCGACTGACTCTCTGCTTGTTCTTTTTTCTTCCGAGCAGCTTCCAGGTTCTCCCGGAACTCCTTCTGCCTAGCGTTGAAACTAGTTGCGTTGTCTGGGGTGATATCTCTGAGCGAAGGAGCTCGGCATAGGGCGCTTGTTGTGGATAGGGGCCGCAGTTGGAACGTCGAGGCGCAGGTGCAGGAGCTGGTCTGAATTCGTAATAGACGTGGGCCGAGCATGATGATACGAATCGCGTGAGGTAAAAAATAGCACGGATAGGTATGTGAGTGCGTATGTCTGGTGTCAAGTGGCAGTTGGCGTTTGGAAGTGTCGAACGGAAAAAAAATGCAGTGATGGATATTGCTCGCCAGCTTTCAGCCACCAAACTCGGGTACCAGAAATTACAGTACGGGCCGATGCGGGGATCGAGGGATGACAAGGGAGTTCAGGAGTAGCAGTAGACACAAACAGGGTAAATGAGTTGGGGTAAGGACGGGAAATCGGTGCGTGTTGAAATTGGGTTGGACACGCGAGTGACAAGACCAAAAATGAGAAACAAGAGGGGAAGGCCAGGTGTTGACAGGGGATAACCAGGATGGGCCGACGCTACAGGCACAAGCTATCTAAGGGCCAACGGAAGAGGCCAGACCACAGAGAGCAATCGATTGGTAGGAAATGGAAATAATATTTATCAACACTGAGATAAGAAAAGGAAGCCTGCTGGGATTGACAAACAGAGGCAGAGACAGACGGACAAACAACGGGAATAGAGAGAGAAGAGGAGAACGAGGAGATTTGACGTTGGGATAGAGCCAGGAGAGGAGGAGAGGAGAAGCTTTGACTGGGGCTGAGGTGAAGGCAACACTAGACTGTTTTGGTATATAAGTATATATCACGTGACTTACGGGATGACGTCAACAAGCTCCCCACCAATATTTTTGCATACAGAACTTTTAAGCAGGCTACTCCGTAGTCGGCCAGTTCGAAGTCGATAAACAGCACATGGTTATACAGGCAGCCTTCTCGCCATTACGCTCCTTTACATATCGCGTTAATAAGTAGGAAAGATGGCGGAACACCATCCCCCGCTCAGCTATGAGGATTCCGCTACCACCACCCATCCGCATTTCGCCAGCAGCCTGCCGCCAGAGGTAGTCTCCTGTCTGAAGAATTCCAGATTCGTATGTACATACATTTATCCTGTGCTTCCGAATTACCAGCTGACTCTCCTCCCCAGCTCCACCTAGCGACGTGCCACGACCTAACCCCCTACATCTCCCTGATGAGCTACACCTACCTCCCCTCAACCCCATTCACCTCGCACCCCACGATAATTATGACGACAAACACCGCCTCTAGAAAAACCCTAAACCTCCTCTCAAACCCGCGCGTCTCCCTTCTGGTTCACGATTGGGTCTCCCACCGACCGCCCACCCGCTCTGTAGCCCATCCCCATCCTACCATGGCGCGTGACGGCTCCCCGCCTCCCGCAGCCACCCGTTCCAGCTTGGCCTCTCTCCTCCTTAATATCAACACCAGTGCGTTGAGCAGCATCAGCACGACTATCATTGGTGAGGCAAGATTTGCAGAGATAGGCTCCGAAGAGGAGAGATGGTGTAAAGCGAGGCATTTGGAGAATAATACTTTTGCATCCGATGATGCGCTGGATGGGACGAGTTTTTTTGCTGCGGCGAGGGAGGGTGAGGATGCAGATGCTGTGGTTGGAGCGATGATGGATGAAAGTGCGAGGGTTGTTATCGTTGAAGTGAGGGAGGGGAGGATTGCAGATTGGAAGGGCGGGGTGCGGGATTGGGCAGTTGTGGAGGAAGAGGCGGTAGAACACAGAACGATGAATGGGCTGTGAGGGATCAATAAGAATGAGATTTTAGCATGTTCTCTCAGATTTCCCTTCCTTTTTTATCTCTTTTATTTAAAAATTGAACAAATGGGCGCGGAATATAGGTCATATATACGTGGGGGATACATCGAGGAAATCCCTCAGCTAGAGGAAAAAAGGATATTGCTTCTAAAAGTGTGCACAATGTCGATGTAAGAGTATCGAACACATTCTCTCAGCAATGGACTGCCTCGCTGTTTTCAACCGCAGAACAGCTCAAGAATAGTATCGATATCAACATAGTCTAGTTTATTAGTCAGTATTCCATCTAACAGTAGATCTAGCCTTACTCTCTGCCGGCTGATTATTGTATCCGTCATATTAGCTCAATTAACGGAGGTCTGCGGTGCATTCGAGAGCATTCGAACAGAATATTAGCAATCCAGTGCATCGGGATCACCACCGCATTTCCATTACCCCGCCTGGTTCTTCTTCATAACCTTCACCAAAGCCATATAATTTGTTAAGACATGTCAAAAGTCGCCTCCCACTCTCCTCTGAATATAAGCTCGTCATACCTTATATCATCATTTGAGTTGATAGGAGGGTGAGCCACAGCTTTACCTCCGGATATGTAGTCGCGTTGATTTCTCTAGGGGTGGCGTTAGACATTGTTGAGAGACGCAGCAGAATGGAAGTGAAATATTGACAGCCAGCAGCATCGATATTCAGATCTTGATAAATGTATGGCTGGAATCATGCGAGTCAAATTCCTCATAGCTGGAGCACCAGAGATGTGCAACGGAGGGGTATAAAAGCAAGGAACACTCAAAGCTAGCCGAAGGGGTATTGTGGCGGATGTAAAGCTTGCGAAAACAGAATTTTCTGCCACCCCCTGAAAAATAGTAGCAAAACACTGCAAAAATAACCAAAATATCCACATATTTCTAGAATCATTCAAATATCATCTTATCATCAAATACACACCTTTATCATCAAATCTGTCAATATACCTCCCCAGCTCAGCAAATTTACCATCAATGAAATCATACATCTTTTAAATAATAATTATATATTTGCTCAGATTGCACAGATCATTGAATATCATCTGATCATTGTATATCAAATTCAATAAAATATTCACTGTTTTGAAATTGCTAGAAGTTCTCATTCAATATAAAATATAAAATTAAAAATGTGAGGGGTGATGACAGTGTGAAAAGTGAATAGTAGAAGATAGTATATAGTGTAGTGAAAGATAATAGTAGTAATAATTATAGTAATATTGTAGTTGTAGCTAATTGCTAAGAAGGAAAAGAAAGAGAAAGAAAATGTGTGAAATACATACATTCAAGCAGACCGCTTGGCTAAGCGGGCAGTCTCATCCACTGCAGCCCCAGCCTATGGTCTCGAGGCCACACCCACAGTCAGTGGGGTCCGCACAGTGGCCAAGCAGCTCAGCCAAGGGGCAAGGCGAAAGTGGTGGAGTGGAGCCTGTGGCAAGCTCTCTGACTGGTACCGGGGCTGGAGTTTCAGCAGGCCGACTGTGGAATACCAAGTGAAGGCCCCTCCGGAGCTCACCATGCCACGGCATGCCCTTCACCGCTGGCTCGCACTCCGCTCCTCTCATGGGGACTTCTCCTGGTACCACAGGCGTTTCCAGCATGCAGATGCGAGGCTCACCTGTGTCTGTGGACACAACAAGAGCCCAGAACATTTGGTGCTCTGTTGACACTCACAGAGGCACTTTCTTCACTGGCCCAAGAGGCCAGCAGCACGGCCACACAACCGGGCGACAGCTGTTGCCTATCTAGGGTCTCTGACCCCTACAGACTTTGTAGAACTGCTGGACTGCACGCAGTTCTACACACGGTACTGCACAAGGTAACGCAGCCGGCTGGCTGCAAACCATCTGACAACCCCCGCAGCAGTTCCACGAGGCCGGCCTGCTGAGTACACCCACGGTAGCTAGTGCAACTGCCAGGGACATCACAGTCTATGCAGACAGTACAGATAGCACAACTAGGCTCATCTGTCTCAATTAGCTGTGGTGTAATCAGTACAGTCTACGTGTCTGACTCAGCTGATATGGTTTTGACTGCCGGCATTGTATCTACGCGTGCTCTGCTTTGTTTTCCTCTCGTTTGCCCTTGTCTCTATCGGCTCAAATGCTTCTTCTTCCTTCTTTTCTTTGCTCTCTCTGTCATTCTCTGCTCTTTTCCTGTCACAACCTTCTTCAGTGCTCTCTCCTTCATTATTTATCTTGTCTGTCTTTCTTCTGATGTTAGAAGCACAGACAGCTTTCTGATCAACTGAGAGAGGTATCCCTCTCTGCTCACTATAAAGCCTTCCAGGCACGGCAGCGGCGGTCCCCTCAGGGAACCACACTATAGCCCCACCATGAATGGCCATACGTCGGGCCAGAAGTGGATGCGCAGCTCAGAAAAATCCTTTGCAATGAGCTGAGTCTTCTCAAGAGTTGCCACCTGGATTCTGTTTTCTCTCTCTGTGTACATAGAAATCTCTCCAGCGTAGCACGTCTCCATGCCCTTCGGGAGGCTTCTGAAACACGGGCGCTGCCCGTGTTTTCTCCGGGACGTTAACCTATACATACATACATACATCTAGTAATTTACGAAACCCAATGCATGTTACCACATTAAGAGATGGAAATAATACATATACATAGTATTTAAAAATGCGATTGATTTACTGCTATCAACCAATAACAC